AAAGAAAGAAAGAAAGAAAGAAAGAAAGAAAGAAAGAAAGAAAGAAAGAAAGAGAAAAGAAAAGAAAAAGAAAGCAAGTGTCTTACTCTTCTCTCATTGCTGGGGCAGATACCCAGTGCTCAGAAGGAAGCAAGGAGAGGTTTATTTAGCTCAGAGTTAGTGGAGATTTCAGTCCACACTAGCTGGCTCCAAGGCAGAGCGGCACATGGCAGAGGGCAGCCTTTCATGGGTGGCGGCAAAGAGCAAAAGCACAGGGAGTGGCTGCAGCTCGGGCAGCTAGCCAGCCTCTCCTCCCCCCTTACACTGGAGTGCAAATTGCCCGCCCAGGGCAGGAGCAGCATCCACACCCACGGTTCACAGTCACAAACTCCAGAAGCCCCCGCGTGACTGCATGGCTGCGTGAAGCTTCGGGGACAACCAGACACAGACCATAACAGCAAGAGCTGCAGCTACAGTAGGGCCACGCGCTGCGGCACTTCAGCAGCTTTCAGCTCCCAGCTGCCAAATACGGCCCACCTGCACTACAGGCTGAGGCGAGGGCCCTGCCCACCCACACCTTCACGAAGGATAAACAGCCAGAAGGGGGTAGGATTTAACATCCTACAGACTCATTCTTTTTTTTCCTCTGGTTTTTTGTAACCTGGGCTGGTCTCAAATGCAAGGCAAGCCCCCTGCCTCAGCCTCCCGAGCACTGGGCGTGTACCACCACAGCCAGCTCAAACTCAATCTTTTTTTTTTTTTTTTTGGCTGGCTCAGCCCGCCCCGAGGGCAGGGCTGGCATGGCATGTGGCGCCAGGGATCGAACTAAGGTCCTCTGCACCTGCCTAAGCTTGCCCAAGCAGGGAAGCAGGCACTTTAGACTGCTGAGCTATCTCGCCAGCTCTCAAATTCATTCTTTTTTTTTTTTAATTTTATTTATTTATTTGTGCGTGTGTGTGTGTGTGTGTGTGTGTGGCCAGCCCAGCCCTCCAGGGGGCGGGCTGGCTGGCATGTGGTGCTGGGGGATCGAACTGTGGTCCCTGGGTTTTGCTAAAGCTTGGTCTAAGTAGGTGCTTTAGACCACTGAGCCATCTCACCAGCCCTCAAATTCATTCTTGACTAGACAGCTTTATTATTTCTTTATTTATTTTTGTGACCAGCTCAGCCTGCCCTTGGAGGCTGGAGCGGCACGGGGTACCCAGGATCGAACCTTGGTCCCTGTGCTTGCCTAAGGTTGCCCAAGCAGGTACTTGAGGCCACTGAGCTACCTCACCTGCCCTGGGCAGCTTAGTATACTTCTATCCTCACTGGAATGTGAGCATTCTTTTGAGAAGTTGGGCGGTGAGGGAGAGATGAGGCAGGAAAATATGCAGAGGCCTCCTCTCGGTCCAGGAAGTTTCTATTCGTAATCCCATGGATGAATTATTACAATTCTGCCTAGCTAATGTCAACCTACCACACCCAGTGCAACCCTCAGCGAGAATGAAGACACTAAGGCTTATTTGTAATTGGGGGGGGGGCAAAGAGTTTGTTTGTTTTTGTGGAACTGGGGATTGAACTCAGGACCTTGCGCTTGCCAGGGAAGTGCTTATTCCACTGAGCCAGCTCTCCAGCCCTGGGCCAAGGAGTTCTAACTCCAACCATGATGATGGCTGTTCAGAACAAAGGCCTCAACCCAAGGTCAAACCCACATTTTAGTCATTCATGAAGAAAGGTGTGGTTTGCAGAGCATGGTGGAGCATGCCTGGAATTCCAGCACTGGGGGGGCTGAGACCAGCTTCAGCTACAAAGTGAGCTCAAGCCCAGCCTGAGCTGCAGAGCAAGACCGTCTCAAAAAAACAGAGAGAGAGAGAGAGAGAGAGAGAGAGAGAGAGAGAGAGAGAGAGAGAGAGAAAGGCCAGATAGCTCAACAGACTAAAGGGCCTGCTTAGGTAGAGCACAACTGGAGTTCGATCCCCGGCTTGCAGTGCCTGCCCCACCCCTGGGGCAGGATGAGACATTGAGACTGGGCGTGGCGGCACACGTCTGTAATCCAAGTTTGGGAGGCTGCAAACAGGAGGAACATTATGAGTCCAATCTATGTAGTAAGACCCTGTAGACTCTGTACTAAAGTACAGAGAAAGAATACAAGAAAGAAAGAAAGAAGTGATTTGAGGATGCGCCCGTGAGAAGAGCAGGAAGCAGGTGAGCGCGTGAGCTGGGCCAGGCAGGGGCCTGCATCCACCCCCACCCCACCCCCCGCCATATGCAGAGAGAAGGATCTGCAGGAGTGATCTCACGACACAGCTGAGGTAGCATCTAATGTGTAATCTCTCCAGCCCCGGACGTCAGAGCCTCTATCCCAAGTGACAGTGACAGGCATTAGCTCTTCACCTGGCTCACAATGGGGAGCAGACGGCGGGGTTCCAGGGAAAGGCGCCTGCTGTCTTCAAAGACGACCACCAGCACCTCGCTGGACAGATACGCACCGCTGAACGCCAACTGAAGGGCGAAGGCGAGGTCCCGGCCAGCCCTGCACACAGCAGTCCGTGGAAACAGGGTCAGGCTCAGCCAACAGGGAGACCGCTGCTCTTCTTTCAAGGAGAGTCGCCCAGGCGGTCCCCACAGTCCCCCTTCACTGCTTTGACGAAACTGGAGCAGCGTCAGTCGTGCATGGCCTCTCGTTGCTGCCGGGTAGAGAATCTTCCGTGATGCACTCTAATTAGAAGGATTATAAACAGAACGAGTACACCGATTCCAACACAAAACCGAAAGTGAGCCTGGGATCTGCGCGGAGCCCGCTGTTCTGCAGCACCGGCAGACTGGTCCCAGTCTGCAGCTTGGTTATCAAATGTGGCTACCCGGTCATGACGCCAACAGCATTTTTCTCTGAAGAGCACCCATATCCACAGTAACATTTTGATAGCCTGTTTCTTGTATATGTCCTTTTATCCTTCCCCAAGGATGCAGATTTTTGTTATGTGGTAATGGGGTGATACAAAAGCGAGTCGTATTACAGTGACGCTTTGATCCCAGTTGCGATAGTAAACTTTCAATTTGTTTTTCGCGGGCCTCAGATGGGAGGCAGTCCGGGGCTGCCCAGCTGTGGTTCTTACGGGACCCGCAACATGACCTGTGATCGATGGTTGTAGATTAAGAATTGCCTACATCTCTTGAAGAATAGCACAAAATAAGCAAGAAATCCCAGGGATCAGTATCATTTAAGGATGTGACTGTAGGCTTCACCCAGGTGGAATGGCAGCACCTAGACCCAAGCCAGAAATCCCTGTACAGAGATGTGATGTTGGAGAACTACAGCCACCTGGTCTCTGTGGGGTATTGTGTGACAAGGCCAGAGTTGATCTTCAGACTGGAGCAAGGAGAAGAGCCATGGGTATTGGAAGAAGAATTCCCAAGGCCAGGCTTCCTAGAATTTTGGAAAACTGATTATCAAAAGGAGAAGAGCAAAGAAAACCGACCTAAACACTTGTGGGGGAGTTGTATTCATCAATAACAGAGTGCTGGAAAAGAACAAGTTTATACAATCAGATCTTACACTTTCTGAAACAAGAAAAAGAAGACCAAGTTAGATCCAGAGTAAGCTGGAGAGGAAAAGGGACTTAAGGCTCAACATATCAATACTTGGTGAAAAATACCTGTTCCATATTATGCCTAAGATGTTTGATATTCAGACAGATAGTGAGGTTAAGCTTAACAGCCTAGGTTGTATGGTAATAACAATAAGCTTGTCTTCTGGATGGTTAACAACCTAAGTTTGCAGACCAAAATTAGAGAAAAAGGAGGGCTGCAAGGAAAGCCAACATTTTGGCCCTAGCCTTCCAAGGTCAATTGAGACTCAGGACATATGAGAACTTGTACTTAACGTCATGTACCTCGGTAGTGTTCCAAATTTTCTGATCAAGGAGATTATGGGGCCAAAGAGGAAAGTGATTGATGATGTAGAGTGTGCCTAGGGAGAGTCACATGGAGAGAAGACATTCTCTCAGGCTTTCACAGAGAGCACATTGGCCAAGCAATGGCCGTGACTCATCCACATGGCTGACACTGACAAAAGTTCTACAATCTGAGGTACATGATCTCAGGATAAATCCTGAGAGGATTTCACTGACCTTATCAGACCCAAAAGCTACATCTCTTGTTGCATAGGTCCTGCTTTACCTTGGTCTTAACCATCCAGTAGAAAAGTATAAAAACGAAGCATAAGAAGTAAAGCCAGGGCTGGTGAGATGGCTCAGTGGTCTAAAGCACCTACTTAGAACAAGCTTAGCAAAGCACAGGGACCACGGTTCAATCCCCCAGCACCACATGCCAGCCAGCCCCGCCCCCTGGTGGGCTGAGCTGGCCACACACACACAATATAAATAAATAAAATAAATAAATTAAAAAAAAAAAAGAAGTAAAGCCATGCTGTTACGTTGAGCTGTATGGGACTCAGGTCAACAATTTCTGATGTTGCCAGTGAAGCGGAAGACCCAATACTATTATGGACTACTGGACTCTTTTAGAATATTTTGCTGAATTAATATAATATTCAAATAATATTATAATTATATATATGATACCTATAATATTCAAATGATGGAACTAAACAAAAAAGGGCATACAGATGAATGTCCATTTTGTATCTGTGTATTCAAAGTGGTTAGGACAGATATATAGTTACATTCTCTTAATGAATAGAGGGATTTGTTCTAATGGTGTTTGTAAATAGGATATCATGTCCACATCTTGTACAGCAATTAACCACTAGGAAGAATGCATGCGATGTGTTAATTATTGAAACTGTCCTACCAATTTGGTTTGAAACTGTCTCATTGCTATTTGTTTATCAATAAAATTATGGGAAAAAATAACTTTCAATTTGATCTCCCATGGAAAGGACAGAGCTTGCTCAAATGCCCACTTGGGTTTTCAACTTTATTAACACTTTGCTGAGCTTCCCAGCTGTCATCAGCAGGTCTTGTCCAATGTCTACAAAGTGAGCGGTTAGTACTGAATGAGTGACACTCAGCTGTGCTGGCCATCCAAAGCACCAAGGAAGTTGTCCCTGCTATCATTAATCCAAGCGTCCTCTTGATCCAATTGATACATCTTTTAATTAAGGTCTCTACCAATCAAGAACTGAATGAATGATACCATGGCTCTGTTAGATTGACTGCAAGCCAATCTCTGGGTATGCTGTGCAGGCGCACTACTGTGGAGTCCTTAGCAAGACGTTCTAAGGACTGAGACAATGGGCCAGATAGCCGTTGAGTACAGGAGAACATATGAGTCTGCCACGCTATCTTTCCTTGTAACAGTACATATGCTTACGTCTGTCTATCTATGTCCTTGTAAGACAGTGTTGACTTCTCCTGCATCAATCCAGTGTGAACAGGCCGGGCTGGCTCCCATAAAGTATGTTGCGTGGACCAACTCTTGTCGTTAACAATGAGTCTGGGGACGGGAGGACTGCGACCTCTACCTGACCGTGTAACGCTGGACAAGGCCTCTGAGGTTGTGACATAGTCAGGAGAGCCTGAAAAGGAAATCTGACGCCAATCTCGGTCCTTTCCCAGGACGCCTCTAGGGGACTGCTCTGCAAGGAATAAAGTGTCGTATAGCCTGTCCATAGTATGGATCCCTGCAAGGCTGCCAACGGCCCAAATCACCTTCCTCGAAATGAGGGGCATGAGCTTCTAGAATACAGCTATGAATCATAGGCTTAAAATCCCTTACAAGGTTACCACATGACGGAATAGCATTTAAGGCTAATAAGGCAAATTGCCCCTTAGACAGTTGTACTTTCCAAGTCTGAGCCCAGCCGACACACAGTGGCCAGCATCTGGTAAGTGGGCTACCCACAAAGGTAGACATACAAAATGAGATGGAACATTAAGCTTAGTCTGTTCTTGTAAACGCATTAAAACGCGTGGGCGAGGCAGGGTAGTACGTATAGGGTTATTGCTCTCGATAGAATGGAAAATGTCTGGGGGCCTGTCCATCCATGCAAGAGGTCTAAGCCAGGGGGATGAGGTACACAGGCGCAATACACTTCTCCCCGAGCCACAGGAGCACTCAGAGAGGCTGCCTGAGAGAAAGGAAGGAACGCTTCCAGGTGGCTGAGCCCAGCCCTGCTGTGAGCCAGGGGCCGAGCCTCGCGAGCGAGCGCTCTGCTGCAGGCCTTCCCAGGACGGAGCACCGGGAGGCTGCCGGCTTCACTGCTCAAGGTCTCAGCAGGGAGCCTGGCGTGTCGTGCAGGTGCGCTGGAATCTGGCCAGGGAACAGCTCTGACGGCCATCATGTCTCTGGATTTTCTGTGAAAATATAAATGTAACCTCAGCCACCATTTAAAAGTGGTGCCAGGGCTGGAGAGATGGCTCAGTGGTCTAAAGCACCTACTTAGAACAAGCTCAGCAAAGCACAGGGACCGCGGTTCAATCCCCCAGCACCACATGCCAGCCAGCCCCGCCCCCTGGTGGGCTGAGCTGGCCACACACACACAC